GTGTGTGTGTGTATGTGTGTGGGCATGATTGTATGCCCACATGGGAAAGTAATGGGGTACACGTAAAAGTTACAACTTAAAGTAGTTAGAGCAGGTTCACTATCTCAGAAAAAGTCTTTTCTGCGCGGGGAAATCGAGAAATTGCATCAGGCTGAGTTGGCGAGATGTACAGAAGTGGAAAGCTTTTGTGAATCGGCAAATTGTGTCACATTTATATGTTCGCCGGCGACTCAGTATGACTCTTTTATCCCATTACTTCGGTAGCCTTTCGTCAGTAGTCTTGAGCCGGGCAAATGCATACCTTTGAGACGATTCGATCTCGTGACTACTTGTATTTTAGTGAGTAGTCTTGATGCCTTTCGGTGGAAAAGTGTCCAGCAAAGGAGTAAACTTGCGACTTCTGTAGCTTTAGACATGACGACACTGACGGAAGAGGCAGTACAGGTGGTGCACATTCTTCGAGTTCGTTGTGACAGAGCGACACGAGCAGATGTTGTGAAACTGAGGTCAGCCCGACAACGAGTGGAGAATCCGTGGAAACCGAGGATACACCGCGACAATTGACAGTCTTGCAAGTTAATGTCTGCACATGCAGGAATAGACTTGTTTTTCTGCACTCTTCACATGCCCTTCGCCGTCATGTCCGCTCCAGGTTATTCGATCCCGTCGAGGCGTGGACTCCGGGTCATCTGCCTCGCGGTTGACTCAACCATCTTTACGACCTGATGTCGCGTTGTGATCTGTCGACCTTTGAACTCGTTTGACGCCAAAACGAGCATAGGTCTGGTACATTGGTCGGAGGTTTTGTTCACCCCTTTGCCGTTTCTCCTGCTAACTCGTCGACTTCTCTCTCGCTCTCTCCCGCTTTTTATCGACCTTTCTCTCTCTCTCTTTCTCTATCTTTCTCTCTCGCCGTCCTTGCCGAATGCGTTTCTCGGCCGACGAGTTCACATGTCGACCGGTCCGCACACATTTTATTAACATTGACCGGAATCCAACGTTTCTCACCCAATCAACATGTTCTCCCTCCTCTCTGGGCATGTCTAAAAGCGTAAATAATCACATCTTGCCGGAGTTCTTTTCCTCTCACGTCTCTCCTGCGCTTTGGCTCTACTTGCTCTCACACCGCTTTTCGTCTGCCTCTGCCTAGTCGGCCAAATCGGCCAGATTATGCTCCACCAAACTACAGTCGATCCTCAGGCCACCGATTATATGCAGTTTTCTGCTGTTTGCCAGCATCCACACTCGAGACAGCGTTGATCAAGTCCCGATTCAACCTGACTTGACCCGATTAGATCAGATCAGATCAGATCCGATCAGATTAGATCCGATTAGATCAGCTCCTTAAACCACCCCAACCGACTTGGCTCAACTGCCTCTTTCTTCAAGACTTGCCAAATGTTTCTGAACTTGCTCATTTCGAAATCGCTTGACATTTTCCAGCTTAATTGCAGTCGACCTTCATGCGACCTCTTGTCTCCAGTTTCCAGCTTTCTGCCAAAATGGACTCTCGAGAAGGCACCATTCAAAAGCAGACCCGACTCAACGCAACTTGATCCGACTCAACCCGAAATGATGAGATCCTTATGTCGCCTTGAGCTATATGGAAATACTAGACTACTCAGTCCGAAATTAAGTAGTATCGTCGACTGAAATTGCACAATTGAACCATCAAACTTTCTCGATGTGGGCAGCTTTCGAGTCTATCAATCATTCTTTTATACGCATGTACTCAGCATAAGTCTCTCAAGATCATTTAGGGACTGAAAGATGCGTTTCACTTAGCCTT